GTTCATGCACCAGACAGGTCTACGGCTTTAGGGGTCTCGGGTTCTAGGGCTTAGCTGGAGGCCAACACAATTTCTCGTGGGGCTGCCCAGAGCATGGCTCAAGCCTTGGCTGCATTCGTCGGGCTGGTTGTCCAGTACAAAATCTGGCGCCGACTAAAGGACAACAAGACCCTGCAGGAGCTTTGCATACATGTGTAGCATGTGCATTTCGTGCACTCTCAAACCTGACTTTCGTTGCCGCTGCACCACAGGATGAACTTGGCCGCTACGAGAAGAAACTACAACAGCACATGAGGCAGCTGATGCAGTTTGATGCAGTTCCACAAGAGAAGCTTGGTTGAGATGGTTGGCATGCAGTTGCTTCTCAGAGCCAGCATGCGAGTACCCACCATAAGAGCGAAGGAAGTTGAAGGGGCCAAGTAGTTCGCAGCCCTTTCGGCAGGTTTAGAGCTGCATCCGATAGGCACTATAGACGACCATCGCGACAGCGTTCGAAGAGTCCGCCAATGTCACACCTACCGACTCCAAGGTACACCTGCACACAACCCAAACCTGCAGGGCATTCCATGCAACCTTTAGCAACTTTTAGCCTTTACCTTTTGTCGGGGACTGTCGCAGTTTAGAGCGCCGCTGCACCGACTCTGGTGATCTTTGGGCTCTCACGCTCACGCTCACTCTGTCACTCACTCTCACGCTCACTCTCTCACACACTCTCATGCTGACCCTCACGCTCAATTCGAAAACGGGTGTCCCACAATCTGTCTTGCGGGTGAAGGTGACGAGCCCTACCTATCATACATGAAACGGACGCAACAGCGCCTTGACAAGAAGGTTTCACCACAGCACAATGAAGACAAGCATGCAGAAGACCAATCAAGACCAGCAAGAAGATGATGGTGCCGCTGTACTAGCCCCGTTTGCGCCTTCTCCTAAGTGTCAGGCAGCAAGCACTGTTGAGATTTGTCGTGGAGCCGTTGGTTGCCCTGCGTGCCCACTCACGCCATGGAGTCTGGAGTGCTTGCATCGTTTGAGGAGCAAACATCTCCACAATCCGCGGCTGCCTCCAATGGAAGCAGATATTCAGGTGATCATTCAAGGCCTCAGCTTGGATTGACTCCCGTTCGTCATGGTCAACTGATTTGTGATTGTTTACATCCGCGTTGCTTGAAATCAAGCACAAGTCTTGTTGTAACAAGGCATGTCAGAAGCAGAGACTGCAAAACGGACGATGAATGCAAAGCATACATCGAAAAAGTCACAGCCGCCTGCATCGACATGCATTGTTGACTGCATGTGCAAGTCCTGGAGTCCTGCATCTCCGTGCGCATGGACAGGCATCATGCATTGTGACTCGTTGGTAAGCCTATAGACTGCCTCATGCCACACTCACCCACACTCTAAGAGGTAGCACACGGTACATCGGCTGCAGCAGCCTTGACACTCGGCAGAAGCTGCTTGTGCAGAGCATTCGGTCAAGACGAAGGCTTTGGGATGCTCAAGCATATCCCGATGCAGTAGCCGACTGTTGCAGAGGCAGTAGCTGATGCCTGTAAGGCCCGGAGGCTTTTTGCGCCTCAGTCGGTACACGTGACTGTTGGCTCGAGCGGGCAATGCCAAAGAACAGCGCATCGGGCTCTTAAGGCAACTGCCAGGCCGCAATTGCTTGGCTTTTGGTCGTAGAGTTGCTATGATTCCCGGCCGTCCAACTCATTCCGAAGATTTGCTTTCCATCACCATGAGGGTTGCTTGTCGAGGTTCGCATGGCCATCGCCCTGCCTAGAGGACGGCTTCTGTTGGACGACATGGGTTTGTCAACCACTGCCTTGTGCCATCTTGCAGGCTATTCTGGAGCTTCACTTCACACGCCTCGCAGGACTGCAGCACGGCACGTTCTGCAGTCTTTCAGTTCTCGGTGAGAATTCTGCGCAGTATAGCGCCGCAGATCACTGCGACCTCCGTTGCCCTGCGAAGGACTCACCAGTACATCACAGTAAAATCGAAACGACAGACACACGCGACACCTTCATTGATCAGGCAACCCAGCCCGTTCACTCCAAGAGATCGCGGTCCGCTGCGTGCCCAGTAATCTCAATGCGCCGCGGTATGTGGGGGGTGATGCGCTGCAGTTTTGACGGCCTAGCAGCAACAGGCACCCATCAGTGGTAAACACTTGGGCAAGCCATCCGGCGCGGAGTTCATCAGCACCCAGGCATCGCCGATTAACTCATCCTGGAAGATTGCACACCGGCAGTGGTGACAGGATATGTCTGTCCAGTGCGCGGCCCATGGCAGTTTTGCCACGGGAAGAAGGCTGACTTCTTTACGTGTTGGTTTCGTCTTGTTGCATCAACCTGCAGGCTCAGTCTCTGCTCCCGTTTATGCTCCTGCACCACCGGCAGTGCCGGCAGGCAGGCACAAAAGCCGGTACTGTAACAGGCAAAGCCAACCAGCAAATTGTTGCGGATCTGCCCAGGGGCGACGATGCTTCCCGTTGTCTCAGTGGCACAGCAGCCTGGCAGTGAACTACGAAACATTCGGAAGGGTGCACTAGACTGTTTGCTTACAGTTTGCCCCGCCAAGGCGGGTTCGACACGTGCCTGGCTCCAGGCCGTGAATGCTGAATCCGTGTCTCTTCGTCAGTCATTCATTCCGCTTGTTACTACCGGCTAGAGGTAGCAACACACGTTGCAAACTTACGCCTCAGCCTAGACAAGATTCGGCACGAAATCTAGCTACTTAGCAAGTTTGTTACGGGTGCGAGATGCAGATTCAGATCATCCTCGGACTATCCACAGGCAGAAGCACAAGATTCCATGTCTACAGACGGAGTTGTTACAGACGCTTGGAGTCGTGCACCTCGGCTCTGTCCAGCGTGGCCACAGGAAAACGGGGGGGAAGGGGGAAGCGTGCCGATGGAATGTCGATGTGGGATCGTTTGGGATCCATGACCCATGCTGCATCCGATCCGATCGGTGGTAGGTGAGATGCAGCTAAGAGTGTCTTCCTTGCTGTGTGGTTGAAAGCTTTGAGAGCGAGCTGAGTTTTGTTCCACATGTTGAAATCGGTGGACTTGACTGTGTAGCGATCATCCATTGAGATGCCCGTTTTGTAACTTGCTTGCACTGGGAATACTGGCGGAGAAGGAGGACCTTGCAACGATAGTGACTTGAGAGAGGTAATGCCGGAGTTGTGTTGGCCATGTTGTCACCACAATCTCATGTGTTTTCACCGTTGCCTTGACAACCTGCTCCTTTTCTGTTTCTGAGCTTGCGCTCATGACTCTACGTCTACGTCGTGGTCTTTTTGCCAATCGGATGCTGCCTCAGTACCGCCGTCCTTAAGACCTTCCAACTCCCGTTGCTTCTCCTCCATGATGGCATCCAAAGAGGCCATGCTACCAGAAAGTTCTGTACAAAGTACCAAAGAGGCACCACAAAGTCACAGACAGCTCAGAGTCTTTCAGAGCAAAAAAGTCCTTCCCGAGAACAAAAACATTGTCGCAAACAAGTAAATCATTCCGACACAAAAGTGTTCCCAAGCCACATTTCACATGTATACTGCCAGTTCAATGCACAGAAACAGCAGCAGTACACGTCCACACACAACTAAAACTGGCCGCCTACTTGCATCCAAGCCACATCCTCGCAAGCAAAACAACCACATGTGCAATGAAACACACAAGAAACTGGTTATTTTCTGTATCGAATCATGTATTATTTGATGTCAAAATGTACTTAGTTTACAACCTAATTTACTTTAGGTTATAATCTAAATTAATTTAGGTTGTAACCTAAATTAATGTAGGTCATCTTTTTCCGTTGATTTTTCCTAAATCATATAACCTTTATCATCGATATCAGGTTGAATTTCCAGCAACCTAAAAACACGTAATCCGGAGACTCAGGGAAGCGCCGCCCGCGCTCTGGTCATTGATCGCTGCAGCGTGTGGTGACCAAGCTGGTGGCTGTCACGGATCACGATCCCGATCTGAGCCCCAAAGCTTCCTTCACTGAGTCTTGCGCATCGGTTCTCTCCAGAGCCGGCACACTTTTCTCGGCTGCATCACCTTCACGGCGATTCTGTAGCACCGGATCTTGTTGTTAGTGTTGCGTGATGTCGACCCAGTCATCTCTTGCACATGGGGGTTAAATTCAACTGCTACGGCCATCAAGGGACCCGTTCCAGCCACCGCAGTTGCTCAGGAACTTCTGTTGATGTTTTGAAGCATGGAACCGACACTCGTCGAATATGTTGGCATCAAAGTCAGACTGGTCCTTGAGGTTTGCGATCCGGAGCAAGCTTTTAACAGCTGACAGTGCTGCAAATGCCGGTGAAGTCTACACTCACATTTCAGATCATGCTTACACAGTCTTATAAATGAATATAACAATGCATCGTTTAGTTGGCTCTGCGTTCTCGCCAAATCTGACAACTAGATCTTGGTTGGCCATCTCGCTTGAAGCGATTCCTCGAGACAGCCCGCAGTCGAAGTGTGATGATATTCCTGAGGTGTTTGTTGAGTACTTGTCAGCCGCTAACCTCAGGAGTGCTGCCAAAGCGTTAGGACAGCTGCAGCTGTGACGAACGGTGGCCAATTGGCTCAAGGGACGGAAGCTAACTGCTTGCGGTAGAAAAGAAGAGTCCGCTGCTCTCATGTGCACGCTCCAGCTGTGCTTTTTCGGGCGCAGTTGGTAGCGGAGCGTTGGTTCGCGAGGCCACGCTCAGGATGTTTCCCGGGAACCAGTCTGGAGCGAGTGAGAGGGCATCGCGGGCTTCGCCTCCGCAGGCGAGTTTTGAACAAGTTCCTTGGCAATGGGATAGCGCATGGCAGTATGGTTGGTCAGGATACCCTGAGTGGCAGAATACTTCTGTGGCTCCGATGACGTGGGCCCCCTCGTACATGATGACGGGAGCCACTGGGGAAGACCAGCCTCCGTCCATGCAGCCGGGTAGCAGCCAGCAAGGGGAATTGCCTGGCTCGTTAGCGACTGTCGCCTCAGGATCTACGGCGACAGCTTTCCTTCAAGCAGTGATGAGCAGTGCTTCTCCCCCCGAGGACCCGTGGGCTGAAGCGGCCAGGCAGCTGATTCGTGCAGCTACCATCAGCAGCACAGCGCCGCCTGGAGCAGGCATGGCGAGCGAAAGAAGGCCTGAAGCGCCTCCATGGCCTCACTTCGCAGTGCAAGGATCTCATCCGCCAGGGCTACTTCCTGGACATCCCGCAGTCCCGGGCCCTCTTGGAGGAGGAGTGCTCCCACAGGCTGGACAATGGGTACCACCTGGAGCTCCTCAAGGCGCCGCTTCGGGACTACCTCCTGGACCTGGAGTTGCGGCTGGGCATCGAGCTCCACTTCCTGGCGAAGATGGCCGAGGTCCTGGATGGCCGTGGAGCTCTCCACCCTCGAAGGGAGACTTCACCGACCCTCCGGCATGGCCTGGATGGACATACAGGAAGCAGTGGGAGATCGCCCTTCGCAGGTGGGACAAGAACACTGACGTTCCCCTGTACCGCAGGTCCGAGAAAGTTCTGAGGTCTCTTGGGTGGGAGATGCAGGTTGACTTCGAGCACCTCTCGGAAGCCGAGCTCGTGGCCCCCACCTATCTCGACTCCATCTTGAAGGTGATGAATCTCAAGGCCGGGGTCCGCGACGACGACGAGAAGAGGCAAGCCTTTAAGGATGTGATCCATGGAGCCGCCCGGAAGAAGGACGAGAACCTCGGTCAATTCGCGACGAGGCGACTCCGTGACTTCACCAAGGCCGCGACCTACGGGATCACCCTGCCCCCCGAGTTCCGAGTGTCCTTGATGAAGGAAGGAGCCGGCCTCAGCGACCAGAACTTGCAGAACCTGGCCGTGCTCACTCAGGGCAGGGAGATGGACGTGGACTTCCTGGCTGCCGCGATGGCCAAGATGGACGTTCGGGCCGATCGCCTTTCCGGCTATGCCGAAGTGGATCCCGCGGCATCTCTCAGCTTCGCCGAGGGCACGAGTGGACTCCGTGAACTTGAACAAGAAGAGTCTGAAGAAGAGGAGTCCTTGGACGATGAGGTGGTTCTCTCCGAGCTGGAGGACCTGAACTTCTCCGAGGACCAGGCGCAGATGGTCTTTGCGATCCTGGAGAACCGACCGCCGAGACGCCGGAGGACGTGGAAGGAGAACAAGATGTTCAAGGCTGAAGCGAGAAAGGATCGAAAGCCCTTTCGCAAAGGCGACGCCCCTCCTGATGGAGGCCGAGCTTCTGGAATGCGTGCGGGCCTCTCCCGGGATCAGCTGAAGAAGATCTCCACCTGTCGTAACTGTGGCAGGAAAGGCCACTGGGCGGAGGACTGCACGCAGCCAAAGAGTGGAGGACCAGGAGCTGACCGTGGTCGGGTATCTGGCTTCTGCTATCTTGGGCAGGAGAATCCTGGAGGCAACGCATTCTGTGGGCTGACGGCGTCTGAGTGGAGCAAGGTCCTTGCAGCAGCCAAGGCCACGGCGAGTGCAGGAAGGCTTGAACCTCTGAACTTCCTGACCTTGAAGTCCGGCACAGCCATCCGGATATCGGCGCGACCCAGGACCTGATCGGGGAGTGCGCCCTTGCAGCTCTTGGACATGTCTTGGCAGACGCCGGCTTGAAGTACGTAGACGTGCCTGTGGATTCCCAAGGACCTCCAACCGGGATTGGAGGAGCCGCCACCGTGACCCGAGCCGTTCTGGTCCCCATTTCACCAGAAGGAGTTCCGGGGGTCGTGCACTTCACCGTGATCAAGGAGAATGTTCCCCCGCTGCTCAGCGTCGGGTTGCTTGAGCACTTGGGGGCCACGCTTGACCTTGTCGAGAACCAGGTGCATTTTAAGAGCATCAATGTCGTCCGGCGCATGCAGAAGGAAGCCTCAGGTCACCGTACCATCTCCCTCGTCGAGTGGGATGGATCGCTTTTCCCCGTGCCCAAGGAGGCTCGAGATCGTTTTGGACTCTCAGCAGATTCGTTCATGTTGAAGCCGAAGGGCCAGCCCTCCTCCGCGTACGCAAAACAAAGCGAAGCCCAGGGAGATCTTTGCAGTGCACAGGCGACTGTTGGTCATAGGTCTACACGTGAGCTGATCTCCGATGATTCGCGGTGTCAGGAGTTGCAGTCATGCCAGCCCTTCGTTGCGAGTGTGTCAGCCGGAGTCCGAGATGAGCAATCTGTTTCAGGGAGAGAACATCTTGTGCTTCGTCCAGTAGCTTTCGGCCCTATGAGTCGTAGCAACTTCAATTCGACAACACCAGGTTCCAGCCCCGCTCCCACTCGTGAACATGGACACTCAGAGAGGCTCCCTCGTGGGGCAGAGATGGCGGGCGCTGGTGAACCGAGTGTTCTTCATGATGGAAACGACCAGGATGATGTATGTGCGGCTGGTGATGGCCGAGAAGGGTCAAAAGTCGATCAAGTCCGACCGGCGCAAGTACATCGAGTCCGAGAACCAGGCCCCCGGCAAGTGCCTCCACACCGGTCCTCATATCAACCGGGGGAATCAGTATGCAAGCTGGCAGGTGTGCAAGACCTGCAACGCCCGGATCAACTACGCGAGCCGCGGAAGGAGCAAAGCCAAGCCGAAGGCGAAAGCCCTCGGGACACCTGTGACCACCTCGCCGGCCTCAACAAGGACGCAAGGTCCGATCTTCGAGCCCAATCCGCGCAGGACAGGACGGCAGGAGGAAACACAGGGTGCGGCATCCAGCTCCTCGAACACCTCCCCGGAGGTGGCCACGGCTCTTCAGATGATGGCGGCGGGCTTCCAGCAGCTGAACTCCACCATGGCGGAGCTCATGAAGGGGCAGAGCCAAATGATCATGATGATGGCCAATGCCACGCCGGGCAAGGCCTTCGACCAGATGACCTTCGACGAGGCTTCCCAGATGGCGGCGCAGGCGACAACCGAGCACTTTGCGATGAACGTGGACGAGGAGGACGACGAGAACGGCAGCTGGTCTCCAGTGGCACCTCAGGAGAACCACCCCGACGAGGTGGGAAATCCCAACCTCCTCCTCTGGGCCTCGTCACTTGTGCACTGGGGGCAGTGCTCACGGGAGCTTCAAGATCACCTACGCCCCCGAGGTGGAGGGGCGAGCAGCTGGATTGTGTACAACGAGAGTGCAATGGATGGAAGTCAAGATGGCCCAGAACATCTCCGACACCCTTGGGTCCGAGTGCATGAGAAGTGCCCTCCCGGGTCTACTGTGCTATGGCACGAACTACGAGACGAAGATGGACGAGTCCGAGCACGAGGCCCGGGAGAGATTCAGACAGTCGACCCAGGTGGATCTCACGAAATTCGTCGGTGGGTCATTGATGAGAAGCTGATCCTCCCCTTCCACCTGCACGATCCATCGGTCGGCGTCTTTGGCATGAATGCCGAGGGCGAGGAATGCTCGTTCGGACCGTACTGGCACTTCTCCGCGGAGCTCCTCGGCGACGACGGGCACGACGAAGCGGTCGTGATGCTACAGACTGGAGGTGAAGATGCCCTACGTCGACTCGGAGAGCTAGCCAGGGGTCGGTCGCGGGAGATGCAACAGAACCGATTAGATGTGCTCGAGATCTTCCACGCGGGCGCCTTCTCTACTCTGGCGCAGCAGAATGGACTCAAGGTCTTGGAACGCCCGACCAAGTTCTCTGTGGAGGACGGCTGGACAGGCCTGGGTGCAAAACAACGTCGACATCTACGACAAGACCTTCTTCATTACCGGCCCCGGTTGGCGACGATGAAGCTAAGGCCTGCCGGAGAAGAGAAAGGCGGTGGGTCTGGGCCCTCTCAGGCCGACCGCATCAGGGAAGCTGTTCAGGCAGCAATGGCGCTGGAGGTTGCCGAGGGCCAGCTTGAGCGTGGGGACAAGTTCCTTCTAGAAGCCCCTCAAACTTCAGATTGTTGGAGATCAGACCGAATGGGCCACCTTATGGCCCTTCCAGACGTTTCTGTGATTGAGGGGGACTTTGGAGGTCAGTTCGTGACGAATGATGTGGGGATTTCGCAGAACTTGATGCTGATGATGAAGGGAGAGCACGCCAACGACTGTCCTCAGGAGCCCCCGGAGAAAGGACCCGACCTCGTCGAGCAAGCCCAGGCGCACGCAACAAGCTTTGTTTCTGACGTGCCGGGGAGGATCTTCAAGAAGTCCGAGAACCTCGCCGAGATCTTGTTCCGGAAGGGGGACTTTTCACATCAAGCATGTCGTCGGCTCCTCAAGAGTATTCCTTGGAAGGAGCTACCGCTCGGGAGACCTGGAACCTCCGCCCTAGCTCGAGAGAGACGTCATACCGTGACCCTCGGGCAGTTTACTCATGGAGGCGTCGGAGGAGTCACCCGGGCTACGATGATGATCCCGGAGGCCACCAAATACTTCAACCGTTACTTGACTCTTCAGGGAGCCGTGGAGCCAAGGTCTTCTTTGACGATCGGGATCAACAGCAGCCTCTCCTACCACCGGGACGTCCACAATGTCGGTCTGAACTGCTCGATTGCCCTGGGACAGTTCACTGGCGGGGAAATTTGGACAGAAGATCAAGAAGGACCTGTGCGAAGGCAGGTCAGTCCGGAGCGGTGGGTTGCCGGTCGTCTACACAAAACACACCATCGGCTGCTGTGCTTCTCGCCAAAGGAGCTTCATCGAGTGGAACCACACCGAGGAGAACGCTGGAGTATCACCGGGTTCCAGACTCGCTCGTCCACTCGGCTGGCGGCTTCGGAACAAGCAGCTCTGGGAGCTCTGGGGTTCAATCTTCGAGGATATGGGGTGGCTGTTCAAAATTGCCACCGCCGTGATTTAGCGCTCCTGGACGCCTCCTTCTTCGCCACTACCAGCTCGACTTTCTGCCGGGTGCCCGCCGAGGTCATGAACAATAAGAACCACAACTTCGTTGAGGCGGAGGAGGATACAGATGGGGAGACTGACGAGAAGAATCAAAGGACCACCGAGGCCCAGGAGGAGCGACCGTCGAGGGCGCGGGTGTCAGAGGAACAGAAGCGGCTTATCCGGAAGGTGCATGTTAATACAGGACATCCGCCTATGGAGAGATTCTTGCGGACCATGCGAGCTGCCGGCGCCCTTCCGCATGTGCTTGAGTACATTCGTGACCACTTCAAGTGCGACGATTGCGAGGTCAAGATGAGAGCTGACTCCCGCCGACGGGCGCAATGTCCACGGCTGTATGCCTTCAATCGGGTGTTGTCCGTGGACATCATGTACCTCCGCTTCCAGGAGAAGCAAGTCCCCATCATGAATCTGGTCTGCACGGGCACCAATTATCATGTTGCAGTTCGCGTTCCCAACACAAGCGGGACGCCAAGTTCCTCAGCAGCATGGAAGGTCTTTTTAGAGACTTGGGTGAGATACATTGGAGCGCCAAGCCTAGTCATCAGTGATGGGGGCAATGAGTTTAAGGGAGCCTTCGAGCGAGGGTTGGAGCAGCTAGGATGTCTGCAACATGTTTGTGCCGCAGAGAGCCCGTGGCAGAATGCCAAGTCAGAACGACATGGCAGGTGGTTGAAGAGGAGGCTCACGCAAGAGGTGGAGTCCGGCAGGTGCATCTTCGACAGCCTCGAGGAGCTGGACGAGTTCCTGGCGCAGATCACGGCCGCCAAGAACCGTTGGTTCAATCAAGGAGGGCACTCGCCGGTGCAATTGGTTTTCGGTGAGCTGCCCCGTGTGTCCGCTGAGTTGCTGAGTGATGGGCCCGGAGGACTTCAGCCGTTGTCTGACTCACTACATGATCCCGCAGGAGGAGACGAGATTGGCGTGGAGTTCGGACGGAGGATGGCTCTTCGTGACCGTGCCAGGCAGCTAGCGATGGAACAGGACTCCAAGGAGGCCATTCGGAAGGCAGTGAAGACTCCCACCAGCCCAACACGCAGGTGGAACATTGGACAATGGGTCTACGTGTTTCGCCGGGCCAAGCCTGGAGACACGCTCCACCCCACCTCGCGTTGGGTTGGGCCAGGGTTGGTGATCATGAATTCCCAAGGGATCGTATGGGTCGCGATGCGGACCAGGCTGTGGAGGTGTTCATCCGAACAGCTGCGACCGGCCTTCCCGTCGGAAGTTCTTGGGAGTCAGCTGAGCTCTGATCCGGAATTAGCTGAGCTGCTGCGCAAGGTCACCTCGAACACACGAGCCGGTGCAGTAGATGTTGCTCGCGAGGGCCCTCCACCTGGGAGTGGAGATCATCATGCTCCTGTGGAGCGACTCGAGCCCGAGGGGCTCCCCGTTGATGTACCACCTGAGGCAAGATCGCGAGAGAGAGCTATGCCTCCCGGCGTGATGCCAGGAGCTCCAGAAAACTTCATCCCCGTTTCGCCTGGGCTGGTTGGACCACAAGGAATGCCGCCGCCACCGAACACAGAAGCTATTCCCCCTGAGGGAGTACATTCCACGGCTACCTCACGGAGATCATCGTTGGAGGAACCCGCACAAGAGCCTGAAATCCCGGCTCATATGGAGCCGATTCCCGAGGAGATGTCACCTGGGGAAGCAGCCGAAGGCCAGGAACCTCCTCCTCCGAAGGTCCCAAGGACGGATGAAGGGCCTAGAGCCCCAGGGACGCCCATCCACCAACTGCTGCGAGTGATTCGGTCTCGAAGGAACTTTGAGGATTCTGGCAGGACCACCGAGTCCGAACAGCGGGAGACCTCGAGATCACCTCGGAGAGAGAGTTCTGACCGAGAGTTGTTCTCATGGTTCTCCATGAACGAGGAGGGCAAGTTGCACCTCCTGGCCAAGCGCAACGACGAGATCTCGCTCAAAGACCTGACGGCAGCCGAGGCCAAGATGTTCGAGGAGTCTGACGCGATCGAGTGGAAGGCGATCTTGGACTCCAAGGCGGTCAGCGTGATTCACGGGGCGGAGGCCTCGGCCGTGCGAGCGAAGTGGGGTGACCGCATTCTCTCGTCGAGAATGGTGCGGCGCAAGAAACCTCTCCCTGAGGAAAATCATTGGAAACCGAAATCCCGATGGTGTGTGGGGGGTCATACAGACCCCGATACCGGGACCCTGACAACCTTTGCACCGACACCTCAGGGTGAGGGGATGATGTCATTCATCCAAACCAGCCTGAACTTGAAGCATCTCTTTTCCTTCACAGATGTCAAGAATGCGTTCTGCCAATCGGACAAGATTGCAAGGCAGGCTGGCCCCCTGTTCGCCGAACCATGTGATGGACTCCGACTCCCGCCAGGCTCGCTGATCGTGCTTGACATACCCGTTTACGGGCTTGACGACGCCCCAGCATGCTGGAGGGCAACTGTAGTGGGATACCTCGTGAAGGAGCTTGGATACGTCAGGAACCTGGTCGAACCATGTTGGTTCATGAAGTTCGAGGAGGACAATGATGGAAAGCTTCAGAATGTCTCGCAGATCCTCCTCGAAGTTGACGACTTCATCGTGACGGCCCTGCCGAGTCATGAGAAGCAGGTCGAGGACAAGCTCCGGGGAAGGTTCGTCTTCGGGAAGTGGGACAAGGGCGCCGCCGAATATGCAGGGAGGCGCGTCCGTACCTTCCCAGACAAGGTCTTCATCGACCAGGGCAAGTACATCAGGGAGCAGGTCAGGCCAGTGCCTCTAGAAAAGCATCGCAAACAGGATCGCAAGGCCCGCCTGAACAACTCCGAGTTCCAGCTCCTTCGCTCGGCGATCTACAAGGTGAATTGGCTGGCGAAGGAGAGCAGGCCTGAGATGGCAGGGCTAGCCTCTATAATGGCCTCGAGGCTCCCGGTCGCAACCATTGACGACATCTTCACTGTCAACAAGTGCATCAATCATCTCCACAACACCGCCGACCGAGCTCTGATCATTTGGAGATTTGATCCCCGGGAGATGGCCTTTGTGGTGGTGACTGACGCTGGTGGAATCTCCATCAGAGAGGGAGAGGAGGATGCCGACGGGCTTCCAGTTGATGCTACTCAGGGAGCCTGGGCAGTGATCGCGACTGAGCATCTTCCTGTCGGCCGTGAGCGTGTAAGGGGATCACTTCTGGCATGGCGGTCCAGCAAGCTGAAGAGGAAGGTGTTCTCAAGCTTCGGTGGAGAGGCTCAAGCTATGTTGCAGGGAGTCAATGAGGTGGACTGGCTGCAAGTGATGGTCCGAGATGCAGTGGCTCATGACGTTCAGCTGCGGGACTGGCGAAACAGCCTCTCCCCCCACATGCTTGTCCTTCGAGGAGATTGCCAGTTGCGTGAGCGGCAGCAACAGTGTTCAGTCACCGATGCGAAATCACTGTTTGACTGTATCCTGAAAGAACACCCTCGAGGCCGGCAAGACAGAAAGGCGGCACTCGAGCTCTCGATCGTGGTCAAGGACTTGCAAGAAACGAAATCCATGGTGAGGTGGACTCCACACCAAAAGAACATCGTCGACGGGCTCACCAAGTTCGACCCCCTCAAGAGCAACGGAGCCATGGAGGACTTCGTCCGCCAGGGGATGTTGTCCCTAGTTGATGTTTCAGAAGAACTTCAGAATAGGGCATCAGACGCTCGCTTTAAATAAACGTCGCAGCCACTCGGCCTCTATCGCTCGAAGAGCTGAAGAACACAAGGAGGCACATGTGACGCTTTGGGCAGCTCTTATTGGGGGGAACTGTGATGATATTCCTGAGGTGTTTGTTGAGTACTTGTCAGCCGCTAACCTCAGGAGTGCTGCCAAAGCGTTAGGACAGCTGCAGCTGTGACGAACGGTGGCCAATTGGCTCAAGGGACGGAAGCTAACTGCTTGCGGTAGAAAAGAAGAGTCCGCTGCTCTCATGTGCACGCTCCAGCTGTGCTTTTTCGGGCACACGAAGCCTTAGATACCCAAGAACCATTCGAGGAGCACCCGGAGGCTCCCAAGAGCATCCCAAGAAGTCCAAAATGCTGTGGCAAGCGCACGACTTGGAGACAAGGAAACACAAGCCGGAACTGTGAAGCACACTGCGGCGGGAGCACGATGTCGGAAAGTGGAACAGAGTTGCCCTGAAACAAAATTGAGTGTGGTATGCAACCAAATGAGCGCCGGAGCACGGGAATTGACCACAGATTCCACGTGTTGGAAGCGACCTAGTAGGAGGGCGTTCCGGATTTGACAATGAATTCCGTGTCCCGGACAGGCTTGGCCGGCAGAGACTTTGAGAAGGCGATCTAAGTCCAGAATGCGAACTGCGCCACAGCGGGAACTACGGCGTGCAACCAACCAGGGGCACCTTGTTTTATCCTGAATGCAAGAACCCCACTGTGACCACGCTGTTTGGGAAAGTTCTCGAGACAGTTTCAACAAAGCAAATCCATCCCGGAACCAAGAATGGACGATTTCTCGCGATTGTCCACGAAGCCAGAATCTCTGAGTCTTCAGAAGGTTTTCCATAAGACAGAACGAGTAATCCAAAGTTTCTAGTCATGCTGTTCCATGGCTTTTGCAGATCCGCCTCGAGAAATGGCCTGATTCTGGGCTCTAAGTTTTTATTTGCACCCCCATCGTTCTGACATGCCTCCGACTTCTACAGGCAGTCGTCGTGCAGGCAACCAGCTAATCCTTGGGAACGTCAGCTGAAGCAATCTCCCACCTAGACCTTCTTGAGATCGGATTCTTGGTTTCTTGTCGAGCCCTGGATGCTTATAGCGGACTGTAACAGGAACGGCCAGTTCATCCGTTGTGACCAGGAGGCCGTGGAAAATGTAGCAGGTTCAATGTCATGTTGCACGGTGTTCAGATATTTGAGCTGGCCAGGTGCAAAGAGTTCTTGATCCAGTGGCTCCTGCTGCAGCTTTAGAGGGGACGCAGCCTCGGCAGTGACTGGAGCATAGGGAGAACATGGCAGAACTGGCACTTCGCATTGCACCTTGTGCAAATCAAGACTCAAGACCCGACAAGAACGCATCGCCGCAACAGAGGTGTCCAGTGCAATGTACTGTAGTTACTGTAGCCATACAGGGATCAACAACGGCATTTGCCTGTTTTGATATATCGCTTCGAGGAATGCTAATTGAATAGGGTTTATTTAGAGCTCTCACATGCATGCAACCACATCGTCATCACCAGCAAAGAGCCATGGAGGTGAGGGGTCCTCCATTTTGAGAGGGCGCATTCTGGACGTGTCAGCGAGCTGATTCGACCAAAGGATGGATCGTGGAGGTCATGAAGCCGGGGTGGAGCCAGGGAGAATCGTTGTAGCATGCTTCCTGTTGCAAAGACCGATGAGCACATGCAGACCCCCAAAGAGATCACGTAGAGGAAAGCACCGAAGTGTGGTGCAGCAGAGCCTGCATCTGTCGCCCCGACACATGATCCGGGCAATGCCTGCCGCTCGTCCTGTGCCTTGATGGTCCAACCGCAGTTGTGCGATGTATTTGCTGCCACTACGCATGCTGCAGGCCCTGAGGCACGTGTTTCCTGAAGCATGCGCTGGGGCGGAGCCTCTCAAGTCCTTGGCAGTGACGGGATGAGCAGAGTTCAGCGTCGGAGTCCAGGCCTGACTGGAGTTGTCTTGACCTTCAAGCGCATGGTGCTTACGACCTCACCTCTGCCTCACATCCTGTCCATGATGCCCATGCCACTGGCATCGGAGCCATGGTTTTGGGAACTGATAAGCTTGGACTTGTTTGGTGCATGTTGGATACATCTGGACCTGACAGCTTTGGAGAATGTTGTGCTTCCCGACCTCTCCCCATGCACAATGCCCGAGTTGATCCGAGAGTCTCAAAGTGCCAGGTCTCAATCCAGGTCTCGGTGTTGCGATGTTTGCGCACATGCTCGCCCCAGGAGGCAAGTTGCTAAGGGCCTACAGTTCCTTAGGTAGTTCTTGAGGGCCTTAAAGACAGGCAAACTCAGACCTCTGCTTTGGCGGCCCTGCAATCAATGCCACCGTGAGTTGGCAGTTGCCGATGTGAAGCTGCTTCATCGGTAATTAATCAGTGATGTGTGTTCCAGCATGTTCTAGCCTAGTTCGCGGGGCTAGCGTGGTCGATGATATGGCCATGCCAGTAGCCGAAATTCACTTCCGGTGGGCGGCGCTACGTGGACGCTTCTTGATAGCATGGGTGGACAGCGAAACCAACTTTTCACACGGATTAAGCAGACAGAGAACGCGGACAAGTGGACGTGCCAGCAACCATGGGACCTCGCTGAGACAGAGCTCGTGCCGCAGCACTTTTCTCGGAGCATTCTCGGTTTTGCAGGCGACGGATGCTTGACATGCGAGTACCGTCCACGACTATGCTTGTCATGCACCTTATTTACCAACATATCCTGCAGTCCATCAGACGATGATTCTGGCGTAGTTGGAGAAGCAGTCGCTTTGCGGGGGCCAAAGCTCTGTTGTGCAGAAGCATGTCGCCATCATCACTTTAGCCGTTGAGGCTGAGGTAATGAGTGGTCTCGTACACCGGCAGGGGGATATTCATGACATCCGCAGTTGTCTTAGCTGTGGCAGTTCCAATCCTTGGCGATGGGGAGCGCGGTGAAAAACGACAGCCGACTGCAGCCGTCTGTGTGTGTGTGTGTGAGCGGGCATCTTGACCAACTGCCGCATGTGTCCTGAGATGCACTGCCAGGACATGTCTGCAATGCTGGGGAGCATACATCGGCACGACTAGTGCTTTTGCGTGCTGAATGTGCCATGAGGCTGGAAGCAACAGGAAACGACTTTGGTTCCCACGATCTTTCGCAGGAAGGGAAATCAGCGACAGGCGAATTCCGATCCGTGAAATCAAGCCTGAAAGGATGGAAAGTACCACACGGAAACTTCGGCCTTGGGGAGGCAAAGTTCAAGCCTTTTTGGCGAAATGCTTTTCACAGCTTCACTTTCTGCAGGTTCCAGCAGGCCTTGGCGGAGCAGCGGGCAGAGCACGAGGCAATGTAGTGTAATTCATCCAAAGTTGTGACAAACGGCGGGCCGATTTCAAGTTATTCATGGTCGCATCAGGGAGGGCAATGAAGCCCGGTGTGCTGTGTTGGTACATGCTTGCCCTGCTTACCTTGGCTGGAAGTTGCTCCAGACTCCATGGCAGTTTGTTGTCGTGCTCACTGCCACTCGGTCAAGATCGTGTGCCTGTGCATCTGTATCTGAGTGGCACTTTCTCACAAAACCTCGGGGAACAGATCCCAACTCCTTGTGCGCCTGCAGTAGTTGTTCTGGGTAACTCTACATCACTACATTGCTCTCACCAGTAGACGATGTGTGTTGGCGGTATTTTGCGTCAGACAGTAGTTGAAGTCAGACTTCACATGCTCGTATTTGTAATTGGCTTGCAGCCCAGGCCAAGCTTGTGCTGCCCCCAGGAGGGTCGGTTCGAATTTGGCCGGGCAGCTACAGAGTCCCGGAATTGTTTGCAGCAGCTCCGTCCACGTCATTTTCACAGTGAGGTGCAGTTACAAGCGCACTGGGAGGAACGGTTTGCGGAGGTGCCGTGCTTATGCAATGAGTCAGACTATGTCACATTGCACGACGGGCACTGCGGATCCTCTGAGAGGCAGTGTCCTTCTGGCAAAAAGCCTGGTCGACTACGGCTGCAGCGGTGAAAGATTGCAACACTCATTGCGCGACAGCCTTACTAAATTCCAAGGTCGGCCCTTGCAAACATGGTTTTTACAGTGGGTCCTTGATGGTCAGTGGCCGCAGGTCAAGCTCAGCGAGGTGTTGGAAGCATCCTTGGATGAACTTGGCCGGATGCTCAGCAAAGTTGTGGCTGCACGTTTGGAGTTGCTGACGCATGATCGGCATGTCGCAGGTCAAAACAGTATGGAGGTTACCTCTCTGACATGCAGACTGCAGGTGTTGGAGGCATGTGCCCAGAAAAGCTTGCGTGCTCGGTGTTTTGTGAGGATTCTTAAGTGTTTTTCGCACTGAAGCTTGCAGGAGTCTGTCGGTCTTCCTCAGAGGTCTGGGCCTTCCAAAAAAACCTCGCAAATGATGTCGGGTCGTGTTTGATGTCCTCAGGCGATCCGAGCTTGCAGGGCCCCGTGTTTTTGGTGCGTGTTGCAAATGATCCCGTGCTGGTAAGGCTGCTGAGCAGTCCAACAAAATAGGGCAAAGCGGCACCAGCCGAGGCAACCAGCCAGCAAGACAACGAGGTCTGCAAAGATCTGTGCGGTCCAAGGGGGTTCCAGCTTCCGGAAGATGTTTGATTGTCCAGGTGGCACTCGAAGCTCTTCCCGGGACTCGCATCCGTCTGGAAGGCTTCCTTACATCACAGCCCATGTGATTGCATGTTTGTGGCTCATGTGCAGAACAGCACGGCAGGCCTCAGTGGGACCAGTGATAGCTTCAAGCGCTTATCCAGCGAGCGACGTCCTCGGCCCAAGCGGCGGCCCGCGGCGGAATCGGAGCTTAGAGCCTTAGACAGGCGACTGCGAATGTCATAATGTGCTTCTTTGCTTCTCAGGCTGGCCCGATTCGAACACGAGGACAGACATGCAGTTGCAACAGTGCGGTGAAACACGCAAGGAAGGCGTGTGCTTGGTGAATCCTTTGGAGGTGTCAACACATTCGCAGAAACTTCTATCCGTTTCTCATGTGACACTGGCGACGGAGGATTGTCTGCTGAGGGCTCGGACCGTCCGCACAATGTGGCGACGATTTAAGCATGACTAGTTGCCCGGGATCTGCCACAAGATGACAGGATGCTCCCTCGAACTATGGTGACAGTATTCAGACAAGAACCGTTCCTTCCAAGTTCGCGCTTGTAGTCTTTTGTACCCCAGGCCTGCGCATTGTCAGACCGATTCGTTCGCAGTGCGCTCAGTGGTTTTCTCTCGCTAAAGTGTTTCACAGACTACATGGCTGGCCAGCGATCTAAGCACGTCTCCAATAATTTGCAGCTGAGGCAGACTGGCGCAGTCTCAACGCAATCAAGCTGGGGACCCCGAATCCAGAGTTCATGTGTGTCCTCTCACGCAGCAGAAAGTCGCGTCTCTTTGGTGATCACCTCCATGACGGTGCGAGGCAAGCTCCTTCCGTCGGACCGGTGGCCTCTTCGCGACCGTGGCCCGAGCGATCTGAGCACACATACGGCTCTTGTGAGGCATACAAGCCCAAGCCACAGACGACTGCTGGAGCATTGCCACCCGCAGATTGCCCGCAGGACCGCCTCATGGATTCATGGTGACTTGCTTTTGCCCCTTCATGGATGAAAGGCCAGCAAAGGTGACAGAGTTCTACCTGGAGTTGGGTTGTCGCCTTACCGTGCACTACCGTCACAAGAGCTGTCACGCGCCTCCCGCGCTTTCAACCTGAGGCTCCTGCCGAGGGCAGCAGTAGGCGGCGCATGTGCTGCCACAGAAGTTTCGGAGGTCCAGGCCCCGTCAGATCAGAGGCACGATGCCTTGACTGGGAGGACCTGAAGTGAGATTGCACATCTCACATCCGGACACATCGCCTCGCCAATGACAGATCGAAAAGCACAAGGGCAATGTGTCACTGAAACAGTCTGTGGAAGGGCCTGCGACGGGCATCACATGACATGTGTTTCTCAGTCCTTTTGGCATCTTTTGGCGTTTGCTTCTTGTTTTACCTGCTCATGGGGCGGCCAACAGTCGGTCGCGACATCGGCCAGCACAAGCTAACACAAACCAGAAACGGACTCCGTACAAGCGATCGCGAGCCCCCTTCCTTGTGATAGCGGGTCCTGGCAAAAGCTCTCCGTAGACGCGATGAAGCCGCCCGGCTTCGACTCTAAGGATGCTCCTGTCAGGTCGTGTGCAAAAGACCGCCCATGCTCGGACTATCTCGAGACCTTGCGGCTCGTTTCCTCAACATTGCCGCGAGCGGTTGACTTTTCTCGTCCGGTGGTCTGGCCTCGAACCGAAGTATGATAGCATGTTTGGTCTCGCATCAGGGCATCAGTTTTCCCATGTTGGTTCGGACTTGGCCAGAGTTGCATGAGCTGCTGGTGCCGAGAGAAGCACCAGAATAATTTTGGCAGTAAAGCAACCGTCACTAGCTCCGAAACACGAACATTCCATGCTCCAAATTCGAAAGCCAGCAAACCCCAAAAGTATCGGAACATCAAACGTCCAGGATGTAGAACACCAAACTGGCCAACAAGGTCGCATAAGGCGATTTTTGGCTGCATGCAAAGATGAGTTTGCACAAAGCTTGCATTTGGACATGAAATCGTTACGACAACGGCATGCTGATTCATGTCTCACAGGCAGCTGCTAGCTGCAAAGATTCCACGCCACGACGAGTGCACGAAGTAGGCCCACAATATCACATTCGATTCACATGACCATGCAAATTTGAGCCCTGCCAAGATTTGTCGCTTGTACTAAATTGTTAGTACATGAGCAGCTGGTCAAGCCCCAACGTATCTCATGCCATGAGAGTACGCAAAGGTGTGCACAAACAGCAGGAGTGCTGCGGGTGCGCAGGCTCAGTTAGTGACTTTCAAAGACGCCATGTCGGAGGAGCCACCTGTCACCGGAAGCGGGACAAGCGTGGGAAGCCAAACGAAGCCTGAGGCAGAGCACACTGCGCAGGCAGAGAGATCAGAGACACAGGGCCAAGAGAGCAAGTCGAAGCTCAAGTCAGGAGCGGTTACAAAGGGGCGCAAGTCTGGCAACCGGCCGAAGAAACCCCTCCGAACCGAGACAGTTCGGAACGGGCTTGTCAGGCAAGCCGGCTCTGGAGGCCCTCATGGCTTCTTGCACGATGGAGGCTTAGCTCTACCAGAGTCGATGTATCTGCAGTGGATGCATGGGCCTTGGGCGCCGTGGCCGCCTTTGGGTGCGCCTTGCCATCCTTTGGGCCTTCGTCCATTTTCACAGGTGCAGTACCCAGCTGTAGCAGAGGTGGCTTTTCGACAGTTCGGAAGTGCACATTCAGGAGTGCCGGCTTCAAAGGCATCGCAACCGCAAAGCTTCGTGCAGACCCAGTGCCCCCCAGTGCTGCAGTGCTTACATCAGTTGGCCCTGACAAGTGGACAGCAGCCATCCCCGGCATGCCCATCAAGTCACACATCTCCTGCGTCCGTGTGGGAAGTATTTGTTGGCAATCAGGAGAAGTGCTGTACTCCGAGCGAATCCTGGAAGTTTCCAAGCTCTTCCAATCCACAGAACTCCATTGAGGGCCTGCTGAGACAATACCTGGTCTCGTCAAATATGCTGCGCAAAGACAACTTGACCAACTGCGAAGCTGCCTCAGAATGCAGCACAGCAGATACGACCTCTTCGTGGACAGCATTTCATGCGGACGACGTAGCTTTGGCCGAACAAATTGCGGCCGTTCTGATGGACCGTGAAAATGTCAGCTTGCCGGGCACCGCCGATGCATCGCCGTCAATCGTGCCAAGCTGATATTTGCAACAACTGCTTTCAGGAGCGCCGGCATAGAATCTGATTGTGTCACGAGATGTCACGAGTAAGGTGCAAGTGTCTCTGCCAGAAGTTTGGTGATAAAGCCTCGGTCGAAACGGTCGGTGTCCCGTTTGATGACCGTTGGTTCTTCTTCGTGTCGCTAGGATGGACACACCGAGGATGTTTCCTGCTGTGCTCTATGACTGAAGCCAACTGCAGCCGACAAAAGTCACAATGCTGTCGGAACCGCAGTCAAATATCATGAGATCTTACAGGAGGGGTCCGTTTCGTAATGCCTGGGAATTCACATGACTGCATATTCTTTGGTCATGTGATGCAGCCTGCTTGGCTCGGAGTGTTCGGCTGTGCCACATGGCAGCACGCATGCCGACATCACTTCAGTCGCACGCAATATGCGAGCTAGGCACGGCGATCCGCGCAGCGAAGTCAATGACAAGATGCGACCCAGGAGGGCCCCGGTAGAATCTTCAAAAGCCATGTCTGGACATGGTGCGACGCTTCCATAGAAGGCGAAGAATACGGTACTGTAGGGGCCAAAATGTGGGAGATAGTTGGCATGCATGCTGCCGGGCCATGCCCCAGCAGGGTCCCCAACTTGTCAGGCCAGTGCCGCCGCTGGTCGAGAGCGGAGCGAAGATGAGCTTTGCCGCGTCGATTCCGTCCAATCTTACGGCCGTAGGGCCGTAGGAGTGGCTTCCATCGCGCCTCTGCGTCCGGCATTTCTGCATCAGGCGTAACTCATTGACCAGGAGAACCAGTGTTTGCAGGAGCATACAGATCCGCTTTTTGGACAAAGGCTTGATGGAGAGCTCCTTGCCTGGTAACGTATCAGTTGCCATGTCCAACCTTAAGCAACACCGTGACCATGATCATCCAAGAGCCTTACTCAAGTCGTGAAATCCATTAGCCAAAGTTCGCAAGCCCAAAAACCTTGCACCCCCTGACCCCTAAACTTCAAACCCCAAACCCGAAAAACCTCAGTCATCTCGTTGTGCCCCCACAAGCCCGGAGGCGCATGGCCTGGGGCGGCAGCATTGCTTTCGTGAGCTGAGCTGAATTTGATGGCGCAAAACGGAGCTAGTGGGTTGAGGGTTTAGGGATTAGGGAAAGTTAGGGTTTGGGCTTAGAGTCCGAGAGGAGGGGCTTCAAGCCACGTTCGTGGGAAGTGAGGTGTTGTTGTTGGGAAGTGAGGTTTTACAGCGAGGACAAAGGAAATCAAAAGATGCCTCGTGATGCTTCTGTTTTGGCAAAGATCGACGCCCATGATGCTCTTGCTCCTTCTTGTTGTCAGGTTGCTTATCTAGGTCGATCATGGATTGGATGTTTCGGACTTAGGACTTATAGGGTGTAGGGTCTCTAGGTTTATGATTGCCGGTTTCAGGCTTCGGGCCCGGATTTGGCCTGACAAACAAGGCCTTTTTGCGCGGACCACGAAGGAGGTATTCGGAGGGGCAGTTCCAATGCCAAGCACTGACTCGCCACTTGAAGCTGAGGCATTGACTCATTTCACGCATCGGTCTTTGCTTTTTTGCTTGGTGATGTACCTCCTGCTTACCTTCGGATGTGTGTATGTGTGGCTTCAACTGTCTGCGACGCTCCAGGGTCTTTGGATCCTGGGCGACAGCCTTCAGCTCAAGGAGCTTTAGATGTGCTGAGTGGCTGCAGACGCTCGACAATTCCTCCTTGTGTGGAAGGACCGCACAGCTCCACAAGCTTCCGGCAGGTCTCATCATGCACACCCGTTTGCTGCCATCCTAGGGTTGGGGATGGCGAGAGGGAGTGCAGGTGAACGCACGGGTCAATAGCTGGTACTTGTAGCACAGGCAACTTCACTTTGTTGGTCGGTGTTCGGAGGAGGCGGATGTGAGAAACTCAGCCCTGCATGCTGTTAAGATGTTGCTCTATGGCATTTCATCGTGTGGTAGTCCCTGACATGCCGCTTGTCGAGCAAGGTTCGATTCTTCCGCGATGTGCTGGAGCGGGAAATCGAGGCGATCTGACCACCAGCTGCAGACATCAGCATAGTGATTGTCGTTCCTGCTGGCTGTCATCTGCAGGCAATACACAAGAAAATTTCATCGCGCC